CTGGGGAACTGGATGTCATTGGCATCTTTACTCTAATGTTTGCCAGACTATAAATTTGTCACTTAAAATATTAGAGTTGCTCTCGGCCTTAGTGCCATCTTTCTAGAAACCTCCGCGCCATGAGAGCAAAGTGGAGGAAGAAGCGAATGCGCAGGCTGAAGCGCAAAAGGAGAAAGATGAGGCAGAGGTCCAAATAAACCGGCTGTTTGTGCACTCGTGAAGGCCACAAGAGAAGGAACATGGGATGCCAGAGGCTAAGGAGGCTAGTACAAGCTGCTGGACTGCATGCTACTGTCTGGAATTTGCTCTCAGTGGATATAAGACCTCATCGCCATCCGATCACCAAGACCACCCCTAAGAGACCCACCTTGCTCACACCAAAACAGTCCCTTGCCCTGGACCTGACATCCTGGACTCGTTCTGTTTATCACTTGTGGCTGAGTGTAACCAGTATACAATAAATCATACCTTCTGCTGTTTCGGCTGAAGAAAAAAAAAAAAAAATTAGAGTTATTTCAGATGCATAAGCACCAAGTTTTAAGTTAGATGTTTGTGAAGAATTTTCCCCTACTTTATATATTAACATTTAGAACATTGATTTTAAATAACTGGTGATCTAACTTTGCATGGTAACCTAGCACAGGCAGATAGCTTGGGGTTCAAGTTTGGGCTCAGCCAACTATTAATTGTGACCTTGGGCAAGTTTCTTTGTATAGCTCAGGGCCTGAAGCCTATTAAGCACTGTCAATAAACTTTGCTTGTGGGTGGCACCTGTGGCTCAGTGAGTAGGGCGCCAGCCCCATATGCTGAGGGTGGTGGGTTCAAAAAATAGCCAGGCGTGTGGCAGGCACCTGTAGTCCCAGCTACTCAGGAGGCTGAGGCAAGAGAATTGCCTAAGCCAGTTGGAGGTTGCTGTGAGCTATGTGACACCACAGCACTCCATAAAGTGAGACTCTGTCTCTACAAAAATAATAATAAGAATAATAATAATGATAAGGGCAGCTCCTGTGGATCAGAGGAGTGGGGCGCCGGCCCTATATGCCAGAGGTGGTGAGTTCAAACCCACCCCTGGCCAAAAAGAAAAACTGCAAAAAATAAACAAATAAAAATAAAATAAACTTTGCTTGTAATAGCAATTCCTGTTCAATAAGTATTTCATCCTTGTCTCTTCTTAGCGATATCAAAACGTGTTAAACCTCATAAATCAATACTGATCTTTATTTTTTTTTCTTTTTTTTTTTTTTTTGAGATAGAGCCTCAAGCTGTGGCCCTGAGTAGAGTGCCTTGGCATCACAGCTCACAGCAACCTCCAACTCCTGGGCTCAAGTGATTCTCCTGCCTCTGCCTCCCAAGTAGCTGGGACTACAGGCACCCACCACAATGCCTGGCTATTTTTTGGTTGCAGCCATCATTGTTGTTTGGCAGGCCCTGGCTGGATTCTAACCCGCCAGCTCAGGTGTATGTGGCTGGCACCTTAGCCACTTGAGCCACAGGCGCCGAGCCCAATAATGATCTCTAACAGGGGCATCCCTCCCTCCTCTCCTTGCAGAGAGGGGCAGTAACAAAACTACACAGTGATTGAGCTCCACTACCTAAGCTTATGGAAATGATTTGTCAAGGAACCCAGCAACTGGCTCAGTAAAAGTGAAAAAAAATTATATACATGTGTGTATATATATATAGAGAGAGAGAGAGAGAAACTGTTGACATGAAAATCACAAAAAGGAATGTGAGTTTGAAAACGAAAATAAGGCAATTCAAATTCTGCTTCTGAAATATCTTTGGCACCCATCCCGCTGTCCTAGCTTAATGATCTCCACTATCTTCCACAGGGCCCCTGCCATCACCTCCCTAGAGGCCTCTCTTCTACCCATTTGCCACACCAGCCTTGCTTATGGCAGCCAGTGAAGGAGCATGAGTTTTGAAGCAAGGTGTGGCCTAATCCTATCAGTATGGATTGGTATAGATGTCTATGTACATATTCATGGATACATAGGGAAAAACTGCTCACAGCAGTTTTTATCCAAAAAATATTAAGACCGGCTAACATGATATATTCTTTTTATATTTTGGAAACACTGAAGATTGGAGAAACACTAATTTTATAAGAAAATGATTACAGGCTCGGCGCCTATAGCTCAACCGGCTAAGGCGCC